AATCCATAGCTAGGATCTTTATATTGCGCGCTTGAGCTTACAGTCTTAAAGTCGCAAGTCCAATAATCAAGACGACTATTTTGGCTGATAAATCAGTTTCTACTAGATACTATCTAGGCAGTGTTTTTACTTATTTTCAAATTGTTAATGAGTCAAATAAAAATTAAAAGCATTTGCTTAATGCTTAGACGGGTGGGCAGAGGGTATCACAAAGTACGAGGTCCCAAGAAAGGACTAAAATCTAAGGCCGCTTGAGCCAGAAGTTGTGGTAAGTCCCAAAATAGCCATAAATTTTAACGTTTTTAAAAAGAAACAGACGGTCGGATGGATAAAAATAAAAAAGAGACCGCACACGGCGCACCAGAAAGCGTGGCATAGAGGAAAAAAAAAAGGTCATAAAAAGGAGGCCTCAAAAAACTTGGCCAACTAAGGCCTGAGGAAATATGCTTAATTTACTTTTGCTGCGTAGGACGCTTCCTTTTCTCTTCCTGTTTTTGGTTTCTTCCAGCGACCCTAATGACACTTTAATAAATGCATTTCATTTGCATTTAAACAAGTAATAAAGCTTTAGTCAGTAGTGCCCGGCCTTCTCTTGATAAAAGCCCAAACAGTTCTGGCCATATTAGCCATGGTCGTAACATGAGAGTCGATTTAAGTTTATGATCAAGAGTGAACCCTAATCATTAACTTCATTACTGGTACTGCTGACAGCTGTTAGCTGTCGGGCATGTAAGAAACCATTTGGGGAGGGCGTCTACCTTGCATTTGAAATAATTTTGTTTTTACAGGTTAACTTGACCAAAGACTAAAAGGCATCAATGAAAGGCACAATACATTTGCAAAACGAATTTTCATAAATTCCTTTTTGGGTTCTGAAATCTCTCTGAAATCCAGCTGAAGAGATTGACTGAGAGGCCGAGAAGGCATAATTTCTTCCAGGCTCAGCTTCACTATTTTCACACATCTGAAGATATGCTTACTTTCGATTGGGCCCAACAATGGCCTATCTAACCACATATGGTTGGACTTGTATGAATGTTAAAGGTTCGGTTTATGGAACAAATAAATTTTATTTAATAATAATATGCAGCATCAAAAGAATTGCTGGGAAGTGGAAGTTGCGGATCCGGTTGTGTGAGCTAGTTGCATAGTTGCGCCATGGACGTACAGCAAAATGATGTTGTTAAAGTGCAAATGGTAAGTGGCGGCATCATGATGTTGCCTTTAGGGAGACGAATGCGGCACGAGGAGCGCGGACTCTCAGCAAAACATTGCCTTTTGTTTAACGGATGCATAAAAATAAAAGTAACTCTTTCTAAATGTGGGACCGACTTGCCGATGCCCTACTTTCACTTCACATACTATTTTTTGGGCTTTGAAACTTAGCTATGGGTTACCAATCCTAAATAAAAATTAGCAAAGCTGTTTATACAAAATCATGGCCAACCACTCTCAAAAGAAGGGTATGCTGAAGCCCGCATAGACAATACTGCCCGCAATCAAGAACACGCACGCATACCACCTCCCCCCCCACACACACACACACACACAAGAGAAACTAAACAGCATCCGCTGGAGTAGGTGGTGGGCTTTAGGCGGAAGAGTATCAAGAACGGCGACAGCGATGTCGGTGGCAGCAACGCGCAGCATTAGGCACGTCGGCAACATAAATATTTTAATTTTGCTAAAAATTTGTGCTGAAAAGTCGCTTTTTTGTATTAGGAAGTGCGAGGCGAAGACACAAACATGCACACACACACATGCGCGTAGCATTAACTAAACAAAATGGCGTCGACGAAAGGATGCGCAACGCAGCGCAGCGTTCGTAATTGTTGTTGTTGCTGTTGTTGCTGTGGTTGCTGCCTGCCAGGGCGATGTTGGTAATGATAAGCGTTGTTAGTGTTTTACTTTAATAGGCAAAATTATGTGCACACGGGCACAGACACTGCCACAGACACAGACACAGACACATCGACACGCATTCAGACACTGGCACACTATCGTACAAAGGCTTTGACTCAAACACGGCTCAAAGGCATAAATTATTGCGGTTAACAGACAACACAGCAGAGGACATTGCGGTAGCAGCAGTGGGAGCAGTAGCAGCAGCCGTTGCAGGAACTGAATCTCTTGCCGTGGACAGAAATGCCGCTGGCTGCGCTGTGCCGAGCTTTAACCAAATTAAAATAGTGTCGGCCTGGCCTAAATGCAGCTTCCTCCTGCTTTTTCCAGCAATATAATGACTCAAATTGAACTCATACCATTGCAACGAGTGTTTTTCTTTTGCCACGAATAATGCTACGCATTCAAGGTACTTATCTATGTATGTAGGGACGACCACCACGAAGACGTACAAAATTCACCTTTTCACTATAGTTACCTTTTTTGAAACAACTAATTTTAGACGACATAATAGAAATCTATATTTCTACGTCTAATGAATGTAACCAAAGTTGCAAGCAAAACTTTCGAATTTTCCTCCAAACATCCACAGCAATTGTTTGTATTTTATAATTTATTTAATCCCCCTGCACTTAATTATTGTATAATTTATTGATTTCACAATTCCTCTGCAAAAGCCGCAAAGCAAGCCGCCAACATTGACCCACGTGCATTAAGAAGATGGTAATATCATTTTGTTGGACAAGATTCCATAGCCATATGTATGTGATATGTATGCCATATGCATAAATAGTATGAAAACTATTGTGTCTGCAAATATCTTGACCAAATTAATTATTGGAAGGTAGCTGCCGCCAGTTATGATTACCGCTAGTTAAAAGGAAAAATAACATAAATGAGGTACTTGAAAACTACTATATTGTACTGTTAGATATAATTACAGAGTAATACGAGCTGGTAATTTGCGAGTATATTACTGATGTCTTGTATATGAGGTTGCCCTTCATGTTTTGATATTCTTTCCAATACCTTAGATTCTAGAAATTTGAAGTTATAAGCAGGTTCCATTGCATCTGATTATTGAAGCGAAGCACGTCTTTGTGCAGTCACCTTAAATACGGCATACAAAATTCCAATGCTGACGGCAAGTATTATTAGAATTTTAAGCGCACAGCTTAAAATAGAGGAATCGTGATCATGAAGCGAACAGTAATCGTAATGATGTGAATAGTGTACATCATGACAACGATTTCCAGAGAACAAATGCCGCCATGCCTTCTGTGGTAGTTCCAATAGTACATATATTCTGGATTTTTGCCGGAAGCACTCGGGATGTTCTGCCCTCAAATAGGCCTCACAAATCCTTCCCTGCGGCGACATCTTACAGATAAAATTTAGAAAATGCTTATATGGATTTAGCCCAGACATGATGCTTTCAAATAATAAAAACTTCCTGGCGAGTTGTTTTATTTATAAGTGAATCGAATTCTATACACTGCCACTGACAAACATTTCATAGATGTCTACCACAAGTTTGCAAAATACAAATTAATCATAGTATTCTCCGGCGGGAGCGGAATTTGTTTTTATTTCGAATAGCTTTCGTATTTCATCCGGGGTCTTGCCTGTGATCATATTGGCCACAGCCTTGCAGGTGAGCGTGAGCAAGCCCTTGATATTTAAATAATTGGCAGCTTGGATCAGTTCGAAGAGTGTGGACTGTTCAACACTGACAAACTGTGTGTCCCAGGCATCATTGGTGCACTGTGTGCCCCCTGCAGGATCATATTTGTGATGTTCGGCCCATTCTAAAACTTTGCGCAAAATAGCTGCACTCACTTTCAGCTTTGGCGGATCACCCTCCTCCGTGCAGCACACCAGTAAAGGCTTAAAAAGCAAATATTCTCTTGTTTACATTTTCATGACATTGCAAATACACATTCTTTTCCATTTGGAATCTTTTTCAAACTGCTTACCCTAATTATGTCTGAACATTGGGCTATTTGATCATCTGTCTCAATAATTATATCATCGGAAGTTAGAAATTTTATAACAGGCATGGTTGATTTTATGGCGTTAAAAACTTTTCGTTGCGATTTTCTTTTACCTGCCGAAATTCTTGACAGGAATTTGAAATAGAGATGAGCGATATTTAGACAGCCCGTTAAAAGTAACAAGTACTTAAAATTGACTTGAATCTATTACCAATATCAAACTGAAAATACTTAGATTTAGTTCCTCCGCTAAAAAGTAATGTGTGCTACGTTGTTTATTTTATTAGTATTTTATTTCTTAAAACTAAGTAATTAAAAGTTGTGATGGAGCTATTACTGATGATAAATTTTAGATTGACGATAGTGTAACGTCAGAATTTCCAGATGAGCGAACAAGATCTCCTGACTACCGATATAATACCGAATTTTCGATTTGGCAGAAACCATTTAGATATTTAAAATGTCAAATGTAAAAAATATATACATAAATAAATATCTAAATGTTTATTATACATCAGTTATGACAAATATTCCCAAAACTTGATATATTTTTAACCTTGTTACACATTTAAAATTTATTTCTTCTAAGCCTAATGCAGCGCAGTGCCAACTTTCTAAAATTTAAAAAGCAATCTTTGCGAACTGCTTTTAGCCACTTGCTATAAGATGTCCCGAATCAGACATACATCATATGCTAGATCGATATGTTATCGCCACGCCTATAAAAGGAAGTTGAATACCGAATATATACAAATCTTTAGCGACTGTATATGGACGAAAGTCTAGTAACAAAGTGAAATAAATTTATTTTGATAGAAATACTAGTTTTGGCCGCAACGTTCTTCTTCAGCCGTAATCCTTAAAAGCACTTTATTCAGAAATTAGTTTATTAGAGAAACCTTTTGAAAAGTCGGTTTTTAAAGTTAGAACTCACTGTCGATGTCGATAAGTATTTCAGAGTTGATCAGGAACTATCAAGCACAAATTCCAATCAATCAAAATTATATTATCGGTTATCGAAACCATAATATATTGAAGTTTAATAAAGTAAATTTTTATTAATAGTAGGCGTGCCATTGTTAGCTGATAGCTTGTGACATCTGAAGTCATCAGTCGAGTTCTACAAAGCAGTTGAGGAGCTTCAATTTTAGCAAATTTGTTTAATTTTGTGTATTTTCTCTTAAAATATGGAGTCTACAATAATTTTGGATGATTTGGAAATCGTGCCCTCAACTAAGACTAAAACTAATGAAAGTGGCAAGCGTAATGCAGAGCCAGCCAATATTGAAGCCGGCAGCCCTGCACCTGCATCAAAAAAGCCACGAATTCGCAGTCGTGAAGGTAATTCACAGCGTTGGGAGAAGGATAATGTAAGTATATAGTTTCTCAGCCTTAAATATACCTACATTCAGGTAGGAGAATATTCAATTTTTAACTTTAAACTAAAGTGCATAGTATTTTGAGAAAGCATAGTAAAAATTTGGGCTCATTTTAAACCGTTCTTTGATATTTGGTGTCCATTCATTGAGAACATATGCAACTACCATATCATGTGCAGCTGCACAAATGCCAAGGAATGGCCTGCACTTCTGATAGGGCAGATCTGTTTTGACTTTTCGTCTGTCCATTCAATGGGATAGCTTCCGCAAATTAGAGTCGGCAAATGCTTAGCCCTTTCCCACCCCTATAAGGATAATCCCTAAACGACTTTGCATTGCTTTGAGCAGCATAAAGATCTCAATCTATATTAAGAAAAAAGGAACAAGTAGGGACGCTGTAGTCTATACTGCACAAGGTTATGCATAAAAGCCCAAGTATTTTATTTTCATCTCTATTTTGGAAATGGAATTATATATCAAATCTCGTTTTTGTAGTAGACGAGATCGACGCGAATACACAGAAGGACAAGCGGACGGACAGACAAACGAACATGGTTAGATCGACTCTGCTTTTGTTGCTGATCAGATATATACATTATGGCGTTGGAAATCCTTCGTTCTGCCTGTTACATACATTTGCACAAAAACAATATATTCTCTTTACACATTTTAAATGGGTTAAGGGTTAAATATATTAAGCTGACATGACAAGATAAAAAGTTGAATTTTCTTATTTTACATCTACAGGATGTTGCTATGAAGCGATCAAAGGAACAAATAATGGATGGAGTTAATTATACTGATAACAACCAGCCTCGAGCGGAGACTGAATTTGAAGCTCCGCCAAAATCGTACCGAGCTCGCGTGGCCGGGAACGTCGGCAGTCAAGGCGAGCCACGTTTTAAATACCGTGGATCGCGCGGAGGTGGTGGCAATGGGCCAACTGGTAATGGTGGAGGCTTCAATGGTAATGGTCCTAGTGGTGGCGGGGGCGGCTGCGGTGGTCGTTATTCAATCGGCGGTAACAATCACTCTCAACGGAGCGACGAGTATTTCATAGCACAACGGCTGCGTAGCCTTAATGGGCCGACTATTGACCTTGCTCCAATTGATGTCAAAGAGGAGGAGCTTAAATTTTCGGGACGCAATCGACTGTATGTTGGCAATTTAACTAATGATCTACAAAGGGATGAGGGCTTGCGCGAACTGTTTAAGCCGTTTGGTGAACTGGATGATATTTTCATGGGTCCAGATAAAAAATTTGCATTCGTTAAGGTCGATTATCATGTCAATGCCGAAAAAGCCAAACGTGCCTTGGATGGCGCCCAGGTCAATGGCCGACATCTGCGCGTCCGTTTCGCTCCCAGCGCTACAGCTTTGCGTGTTACCAACCTGTCGCCCTACGTGTCCAACGAATTGCTCCATATGGCATTCGAGGTATTCGGACCCATCGAGCGGGCAGTCATTATTGTTGACGATCGTGGCAATCACACGGGTGAGGGCGTCGTTGAGTTTGTCAAACGATCATCTGCCCACATCTGCTTGCGTATGTGCCATGATAGATGCTTCTTCCTAACTGCTTCGTTGCGTCCATGCGTGGTAGAGCCCAAAGAAATGACAGAAGAAGGGCTGCCCGAAAAGGCTCTCAACAAGAATAGCCAGTTCAACAACGCTCGCAGCATTGGACCACGCTTCGCCGATCCCGATTCATTTGATCACGAATACGGCACGAGATGGAAGGAGCTGTATGCTCTATATAGCGCCAAGTGCTCTTCGCTCAAGCGTGAAATGAAGTTGGAAGAAGAAAAGCTTGAAGCTCAGCTGGAGTTTATTCGCTATGAGCGGGAGACTCAGCTTTTGCGCCAAGGTTACTATTTTTATACTTATACAAATCTAGTGTTTGTTGTCCACTATATTCCCAAGAGAAAGGTTAGGATATCTTTTGCACGACAGATATCTTTTATATCTTCACATAAATATTTGCCTATAGTTCCTATGACAGTTATATAACGTAGTAGTCAGATGTTGATAAGGTTTTGCTTATATACTTATGAAGAGCATTGTGAAACTAATAAATCCCGAATTTGGAGGAGATATCTTAAAACAATAAGTTTTCCATAAAAGAATCTAATCTTCGACCGATCTTTCCAAATGCAATTTCATGACATAGTGGTCCGATGTTGATAGAATTTTACATATATGCGGGGAGCATAGTGAAACTAATAAATGCTGAGTTTGGTCAAGATATCTTAAAAAAAAAACAGTTGTTCATTGAAGTATTACATTTTTAACTGATCGAAACTATGGCAGTTATCTGATATAGCAGTCCGATTCGGCAGATACGATACGATAGTTCAGTTGGTTTCGTTAATATGCAAATGTTTATTCTAGAACTAAGAAAGCGCGAAGCTGATAATGAGCGCCTGAGATTGGAATGGGAAATGCGCCAGAAGCAGTCGTTGGAAATGAGTCTGCTCGAAGACGACGCTTTGTTACGTCGTCAGAACGGAATGCAGAACCTTTTGATGCGTCACGAGGGGCCAGTAAGACGTCGCCAACAGGATAGGTCTTTGTATATGCCGGAGCAGCCAAGTGGATTCGTCGGTGGTTGCGAGTTTGGTTCAAGAAATTTGAGCTTCGACAGCTCACCATTTGTGGTCTTTGGAGGTATTTTACAATACGTTTTTCAATCAGAACCATTTTCTAACCATACATTTTACATCTTATAGATACAAAAATCGCAGATAATACTGAATCTGGGGCAAATAATCAGGTATTTACGGGGTTCTACAGACTACTCTAACAAATCCTCAAATGTTATTGATTCAGAATATTTAGAAAATCTATTATAAATAACAAAGAATTATGGATGCTATAAAAAAATGCGAATATTAAATTAGTTACACTTTCCATATGCATTAGTTTTACAATATATGCGGTATGTTGTGGCAGATATAATCCATCTTATAAATCGTGATAGTCAATAGCCTTATTGGACTCATACTGACTTGACAAAGATCGATTTATGCAAACTGGTCGTAACGGGAATATTTCTAAGGTCTTGCTGTCTAAATTCAGGAACTTTACGAATACGAGCGAATATATTCTTGCTTTATAGCTTTGTGATAGGAAGGTGTCTGATGTAAATAAGATTTTGGTCAAGGACTTAGTTTTCAAATAAAATTTTGTATTATATCAGATTTAGATTCTGGATTTTAAAGTAAAAAAAAAAACACTGACATTTCATATAAGCTTTAGTCAGTTTATACCAAAATTTTGTTCAACTGTGATGTTCACTGCAACTGGATTACGGCCTCACAAAAGAATTGTACTAATTTTAATATTTTATTTTTAATAACATTAAAATTTAAAAAATGAAATACTGATTTTTCAAGTGATCGAAACAAACTAGCAAACTTTTAAATGGGTGTTTACAGCCATTGGGTTTAATTGAAATTTATCATCAATTAACTCAATAGCACAGCTGCAGTGAACACCCCTTATTTAAATGCTTACTTATTAAAGTGGGTCCTACAAATCTCTCGATTAGGTTCCGTTTGATACTAATTTCGAAGTCCATCCCATTATGAATCAAGAAAATGTGGTAATTGGCGATAATAACGCTCTCTGGGGACGACGTACTATATAGTCATTGGAGCCCAAATGGATAATATATGCAATATAATACAATATGCAAATACAAAAATCTTTAAATTTGTATACATACTTTGATCCAAAATAATAAATGTTTCATAAATGTTTTACTTTTAATTATGCAGAATGTATATTCTCATAAATCTAACTAAAGATTATTGATAATGATTTTGAAACCGATCGGACGGTAAACTACAAACTTTCAAACTGTTGCGGGTGAAATTTCCCAAATCGCAAGCTGAGAGACGTATTCATTAAGATCTTATATAGAGCATTGGAAATAAGTTTGATGCAAAACGGACAATCGTTTAATCGCATTTTCCACGAAGAAACTTTCGTTTTTTTCCGTTTTATTTGGAATGTCCAAGAATTGAAATTTTTTCAGAACGTTAAAAATGTAAAAATGTAGGAAATGCGCCTCCGGCACGGATATCCGCCTTTATTACATTTAGACTTAGTTCTCTCTCAATGTGACCCATTGGAGAGCCCAACTATTTTAATTTTAATTTTAAATTAAATTGTCTAAGTTAAATTTGGAAATATTTCCATGTTCTGCAGTTGGGCAATATCCGGTCCTAACAACGTATCAATACTGTGGCCATTTGATTTACAGGTTTATTGACACGTTGCGCACATGCCGTTCCGTAAATGGTAGACACCCGAGCACACTTGACAACGATTTGATTGACAGACGAGCTGTCGACAGACAACCATGAGTCTCAAGTGCATTTTGCTCCTGCCCACGAATATTTCGAATTCAAGCTGCACATTTATCAATCTCGTCACAGCTGTTTCAAGCTAGTAAATTGTTTTTATTGCAGCTTTAGATAACTCACACCACAGCATGCACCAACAAACGACTTGAAATGTATTTATAAGCAATTATTTCTGTTAACTTCAAGCTTTTGGCTGGGGAAACCTTGCATCATTTATCGATCGATTTATACAAAAATATTGACAAAGATACTTGAAAATATGTCTGATCGGGCGTTATATTATATTGACTACCATTTTCTGCCCCGGAGAAGTAGAAAATCACATTAAAATAATATGTTGCAATTGGCAGTCAACCCCAAACCAAGAGAACCTCTTTCTAGCTAAGCATAACAAAGTGTTAGAAACTATAAACTAAAGTATTGGTTGGTTTATTATTCTTAACTTTAATAAAGGCATACAAATATGTGCACCATCTATGCTAACCTTGAAATGCACTTAAAATTCTTGACGTTAGCATTTTGACACCGATTTTTAATTGTTAGAGCTGACTTGTTTGGCTTGTTGTACACACACGCGTGTGTAAATTGTGAAAATGTGGAAAATGGCACATTTGCTGCATTTGCATTCTTTGGTTTTCTAAATAACTAAATAACTTGCCGGTCGCATTTGTTGGGGTTTCTAGACACCGCCTGGCAATTTCTATGGCTGCCTTCTAATCACATGACACACATTTCGACTTTGAGCTCTGGGCAAGCTTTAAGTTTTTCCTTTTTTTTTTTTGTAGTTTCTAGACATCAACGCCGTCTGCACATTAGTGCGACCAGTTGAATAAAGCTCAGAGCTTACGTAAAGTCACAAATATAATTCTCGCTAAATCATAACATGACCTTCAACTGGTGTTTAAAGTTGCCAACATATTGTTTTATTCTCATTGCAGTTAATCAAAAGAGCATTTACCCAAAACTTTCTATTCTTTAATCCCAATAGTCGGCAACATGAATTGACCTGTTGTCCTTATAAAAGTAAAATCAATTTGATTTTTATAATGCTTATTTTTTGCAAACGTAGCAAGCAGAAAGGAGTATCCCCAACCCCATAAAGTATATACATTCTTGATCAGCAATAGTTGAGTCGATCTGCCCGATCTCAGAACCTGGAGACGTGAACCTTAACGTAGACCTTTCTGTTGTCCGCACAGTAGGAGCTTGTTTCCAATAATCGAGAAATCTCTAGGGTTTTTCAGCTGGAGTCAATAAGATCTACTTCAGAACATTTATTAAAGAAAACTTGTGGAAGGACAACTTATTCTTGTTTGAACAGTCAAATGGCATAAATACTACTTAAAGTCGTTTAGCTAAAGAAATGCTTTTGCAAACATTTATAGTCCGTTGTTAAAGAACCCCCAACCCCATTGGTCCAGGTTTGACGCTACTTTTCCATATACGCTAAGCCGCCCAATCAATTTGAGGCTCAACTCACACACACTCACACACTTATGCTCGCTCACACATGCACTTATAGTTATTGTGCAACGTACTTTTGTTTCTGTTTGTGGACAGTTTCACTGTAGACAGTGAATGACGGCGAAAAGCCTGTAAAAATAAGTCGAAATACTTAAAGCATAAGATAAACAAACCGGCAAAATGTAACACAAACACATACACATCTGTGAATGCTGAGCTCAACGCAAACTCACCAAAATTTCCCTAACATAACATTGGCAATGGGCGCCAAAAGGGAAATTTTGTTAACACTTTCCCTTAAAGGATGTTGTATGAATTTAATGACTCCACTGTTTTCTGTTTATAAAGTCATCCTAGGATATGTAGAGTTTGGCAGTTATGATATATATTCGGCCGATTATTTTCGAGGATCTTTGTCAAAGAGTATCAAAAATCTCCCGCTCTTGGATGGCTTAAAAAAAAGGTTCTTTTCGGCCTCAACATTCTCACGGTAAGACAATGACGAAAAATGTTGATTCCAACTTTTGGTTTTTTGTTCGATGGACTTTAAAAATAATTTCAAATAGAAGTGTAAATTCAAGATTTAATGTAACTACTAAAATTTATAAATTGTTTAAATACATATTTAGTTTTCAAATCTTTTTTCCTTGTCGAGCTGCAGCTTTAAAGTGCATTGGAAAATTTATGAAAACTTAAAGCAATGAAAACTAAAAATGAAATCTAAAAATGAAAACTAAAGGCTAAAAGTGCGCTTGGAAACATCGATTATACAGAACAAGAAAGGGGAACACATACGCACAGAAGCTTGTGTGTGTGCGAGTTTTACATTTGTATTTTTAGCACACGCATCGTTTCACATTGTTTCTGGTTGTTATTATACTTGGTTTGAATATTAAAAAACGAGTATATTGGCTTAGCGCTCGAAAAACCAAAAAACCAAGGCAGATACAGGAGCTAAACAAAAAATAGATTTTTCGAATATTATCTGTTTTGTCTCGATATCGTATTCCTTAAACAACCTCCAGTTCCAGAAACAGATACAACGAACATTTCTAGAAATAACCGAACTAACGTCGAATATTAATTAGCATTATCATTTCAAAACGACCGAGTCTATACTTCTCAATAACCAGAACATGTGAAACTACAATTTAACTAATAAAATTTAATTCCTTTTGATTTATGTCCAATAAGCAACCAGTTTTAGAATATGTTTGCACATTGAACAGCGTATTGCGCAGTCGGTTGCTTGTCACTTGTTTTTCTTTTCTCTTGAAGAAAGTTTGTTTAGAAAAGTGTTTTCCATATGTGCATTTTCGCCACCATGCGCTAGTTGATGTGGTAGCATGGAATAATTATCGAGTTCAGAACGAGGAGCTCTGCCGATGTTTGGAATAATTCTATGTATATTTCATTGAAATTCGTTGTGATAATACTCTTACTTAGAACATATCGTAAGCTTATAATGAATAAATAATTTAATATTATTGCTCAGTATTGTTCCTTACAGCTCAGAAGCATCTAATTGCTACGTGATACAGTTGGAAAATTCGAATATTTTTGTTTTGACTTTTATTATTATTTTCAGTATTTCACATATGTTATGCTTTTTACCATACATTTTCTTTGTCGTTTGGCTCTAGGCGTGCTGAAAGGCTGCAGAGGCCAAGGCAACATGGAACATTTGGGTAACCGAGAAATAAAACTAAATTAAATTTGAGAGTTGTGCGCTGGTGAGGCTGCTGCTCCACTTAATAATTATAATTAATGCAAGCGTCAACAATTGTGCAAAGGAAGCAATACCAAAGGTGCGTCGGCGAGGCGGTGCTCAAGCCGGGCGTTGCATGTTGCCTGCTGCGGGGCAAACGAAATTTCAGACAAAGTAAAAGTAAATTTTTATAGTTTTTCTTAAATCCAGATATAATACCACCTATTTTAAAGGAAGTGTTTTTATATCGGAAACTCGAATAAAAATTGCTGTAAACATAATTCTTTTTATAAAACATTATTTTTATAAACATTATTCCGACTATCCCCAATTATTAGAACGACAGGGCAATAAGCAATTGGTCTGCGGTAAAAGCAGCTTGTGGGTTTTGGGCTTGGCGATTCCCGACCTATTTAACATGAGTTATAAAGTCAACAGAGTGTATCACTCTGTGCTGTGTGACCCTTTACCACTTGGGGGAAGGGGCTGGTTGTCAATTGGCAACCGCATGCTCAGGTGTACAGGAACAACTGAAAGCCAATTGACACTTGTATCTTGTTCAGGACATTGGTTCGTTTGTTTGCGGTGTAAAGTGTCATTATACAGTTGCTCTTTGCTGTACGCGCTGCTACAATTCCCACCTTCAAATGCCATCAACTCTTCTACATGGCGTTGGCACTTAAATCATTCTGTTTACATTTTAATTAAGTTAGTGAATGCTACATGTTTTTATTTATGTTTTGCATTCTATACTATACTGTATATTTATAGATGAGATATAGGTATAGTAATAATATTTATAATGGAGTAAGTTCAAAAACATGGATCAGTCGCACACATCATCACGAGCATTCGCAACTTCATCTCAGAGTTTTCCTTCTTCATCATCAGCAGCCCAATTGTGGCGCACGGTTGCAAATTCAAAAGCACACTTCAAGTATATAATTTGGCTCCTTGCCTTGACTAAAGTTATAATTAAATCAAATGGCTTCTTGCCTTGCCTAAACGTATGATTAACTTAAAGTCGTGCCTCCGAATAAAGCTGTAGTTAATACCGACGAGTTCTTTTTAGTCAGCACGTTGGGCGAGTTGTGTTTGGACGTTGAGCCCAATATGCATCAGACTTAATTTTCAAAATAATTGAATAATTGATCGCTTCGTTATTATCGATTATTGTTTTGATTGGTACATTTTTTCCGCGTGTTTGTAAAAGTTGACTTGGCGTTTGTATTCAAATATTTAAATACATATGTCACAGTGTTGCATAAATTAAAATATCATTTACTTTATGCTTTCCACAATTTGTTGTTAATTTATGGTTCCATTTCCCTCTAGCCAGCCTTGCTTACAGCCGCAAGTTGCGATGAACATAGTAGTTGAACAGCTCCTTTTTATAATTAATGCAAAACTCTGCGCTGGAAAACAAACCCATTAACCATAATAACAAAACCAACAACATAAACAGTAACTACAAGTTTTCCATTGAAGCAACATTTTTTGTAAAGACATTTAAATTACAAGCCGTGCAAGTAGAAAAGTTGCCGTCGGCTCCAATCGACTGTGCAGAACTCTATTTGTGTCAATAAAAATCTCATATGTAAAAAGTTTTCCGAATTATTGGGGTTTTGATTGGATTGGATTCAGTCCAACCATAGCTCATTAAATAATTAAGTGTCGAATGCGCAACTGCCATAATATAATATAATCAAAGTAATGATTTTTAAACGAATTATGTATATTTTAAATAAATATGATTTTGCTGATATTAAAGTAGAATAATGAACTTTGGAATTACTAGCCTTATACAGAAAACCCTGAAACCCTTCAAAGAAAAACTTATTTTTCGAGCATTTTTTTTACAATAGCGCTATTTAATATAGTAGGGGGATGAACAGGTTTCTGTTCCGATCCAGCCAATTTGGATAGACGAGCACACGGGCATGGCTATAATAAATTCTGCAGTGGTAGACAAATTAATTCAACCTTTTTTTAAATCTCCTACCATCTCTGGCCTGCACTGCAGCAGCCAATACAGGCTTCATTTGCGTGGCAAAAGGGATCTTTGGGTGCTTCAAGCACAAGTGGCAGTTGCAGTTACCATTTATAGCTCACTTCATACCCATTTGCTCACAGATTCACTTACCTTGACATGCTCAAAGGACTTTCGCTGCGTGGTATGTTATTCCGTTTGCTTTTGCTGTTAACATTTTTGACGAGTTCTACTGCGAGTGAAGCAGGAACTGGCAACAAAGCACTCAAACCAAAGAAAATCAAGATGAAATATATTTCTTCAAGGCAAATTTAATACATTTCCAGCATGTATATGACGTCTTGTGTTCTTTTTTTTTCTACAGGAGTTAATTGCTTGTAACTAAACTGTTTCTTTTGCTTGCTTTTAAGCATTCTTAGGACAAATTTAAAGTTTGATTAAAATATCTGCAAAAATGAATTATTCGCAGTCTTCAATAAGACTTAAATTCGAATAAAATGCCTTCATACAGAACAATTTCTCTATAAAACAAAATATTTTTATACGAAAATTTGCAATATCAAAACTAAAAAGGAAAGGTCAAATCCACACGAAACTCGAAATGGGGAAGCATCCAATGTCAACGGTCCTTTTTGTGAAGCCCAGACGACTTCCTCGACGACAAAAATCAGGAGTATATAGAACGGCAGATGAGAACCCACAGTTCCATTAAGCATGGACCAAGTCATAAATGTATTTATTTCTATACCCTGAACCCATTTAAAATGGATAAAATGTATGTCTTTAGAAGGAAGCATCTGCGATCCCATAAAGTCAGCACTTATATATTTTAAATCATTATTTTGATTGCTAAGGCAAACGAGCGCGTACCGCAAGCTGCATGTAGGAATGATAAAAGGTTACCAATTGGTATCTTCTAGTCGGGCACTTTAACTTATTTGTATTGCAGGCAGAGAGACAGAGAGAGAGAGAGAGACTCTCTCGGTAATAAGTCATGGGAATTGGTGACAGCCTGAAATGCGGCCTAGTGTTAAAAATTGTATTTACAAATGGGTTACCAGCGAAAGGATACGAAACTGCAACCCAATCCTGTCCGGCAAATTGCAAATGGAAGCACATAAAAAGCGATTTATGGATAAAGAGCACGGCATGCAAATGGATCAGCTGGGAAGGAGTTGTTTGTTTCATAAACACAAACGCGAACTTGCCCCACACACATGAAAGCTGCATTACGCATACTCCATATGCGACTTATTGCCAGTACTGTGCTCCTCCTTTGCGTCCTCCTATGATTGATTTAAATAAGAACTATTTTTTAAGGCCATGTTCCTGTGACAGCGTGATGCATATATAACCATTTGCCATGTGACAGATATTAATCGTTAATTGAATTGGGCGCCTTCTGTTTTGTGCCCGCTTTTGATATAACTTATTCATAAGAAATTTATGGCCATCTGGAGTTTATGGCAATTTAAGACGGCAAATAAGTTGGCTACTGGCTGATAGTTTCGTTGTAGTTGCACTGATTGCCAAAATGATAACAAAAACATTAGGGGCTGACATCCAGATTAACCAGGTTGATTGCAAATTCAATGTTTCCGATTGTTAATGTGATTCTTGTTATTGTCGTGGTTGTGGCTGTGGTCGCAATTATGTTATGGATTGTGCTGTTAGTTGTTTTGTGGCCGACACTTAATTTGAACCGCAGTCAAAGCCTAATTCGCCCGTTAGTTAAAACAGTCGACAATCAATTAAAATAATTTTAGCCAAACCTACGCGGCAACATAGCTGCCGCACAGAAAGCTGATTGTGATTACCAAGGCCTAAGTGAATAATTTAATAAATGCCTTTTTACAAAACTAAAAAAGAATTATTCAGGATCTGCGTATAGTCTATGAGAGAACCTATATCGCATTTAGCGCTACTCCGAAATATATATTTCAAATTTTTAAGTCTAGTTTTTCGAGAAAGCTGCTTTATAAAAAAATATACAGAATATGCAGAAATAGTTGTTTACTGATTGATTAGTGGAGATTTTGTGAACATTTAAAGGTGAATCAGAGTGAAAGTAGCTGCCGACGTACCGTCTCTCCGGATAGCTGTCTGCCAGGTGGGCAATCCTTTTGGTCAATTTCCAAATATAAACTAACACTGCAGATTATCCATTTTTAGATGTAAATTCAAGGTTTCCTTAAATTGTTGGCGGTGTAAATATGCTAAAAAGAGTAAATTACTATATATTTGAGAGGTCAATGCGATTGGCATAAGCTTATAAGAATAGCTTAAGAATCAGATTATTAAGTTAAAATTTTAAAGAAAATATTTAAGGGCAGCTTGCTGTGATCAAATTGAGGTTTTTAGTAAAAACGTATTGGATATCATAACAATCTGAAAGCCTCACTTGTTTGAATGACTTGCTTGAATGACTTTCGGCTAAGACAATACATTAAAATGTACGAATTTTTGACAGGAATCTCGCTGCTCAGTTTTCAATTGGCCACGTCATTTACCTTATCTTTTAATAAGATTAGGAAGTGCCTTAAATGAGTCAGCGTTTTTTGAGCTTCATAACTAGCATAATGTAATTCTTAAGGTGTCATTTTGTAGCTTGTGTCATTTGGGCTTGACCTTACCCCCCGTCAGTGTGGATATTATTATGAGCGATGTCATCAGGAGGCGTGCCCAACCACGGCGTTTCTTTTGACTCTTCAGCATAGTCACCTGTTTCAAGTGATCAATATAATCGCTGCCAAGGGGACGCAGGTTCCACAGCAACTTTTGAACATCGTATGGCAATAGGGTGTCCAGTTCCTGCTGAGGTATACGTATGGGTTCTGGCTGAAGCTCGACGGGCACACGCACATTGTGTATCATTGAGCGACCGGTTTGCTTAAAGATGCACAGAATCGATTGGTTTTGAAGCTGTTGTATTGGCGGTGCTGGAATGCATTGGACACAGAAGCGATGACAGTATTCTTGATCTGCATGGAAATCTAAATAATTTAGGCTGACATTTATTTCGCTGATGCCATACGGCTCAATAAAGCCGCAGTTTGGACTGGCACTGTATTTCCACGGGGCATTCGAACGTATCTTGTATAGCAAACTATTAGCGGTGGGATTCATTATGGATATTAAACGTCTCTGGGTGCGATCGTAGGGCGCGTAGAAGATCATCTTTTTGGGGCTAACACTAACGAGTTCCGAGTTAATCTTACGCGACATGTTATCTCGTATTCGGTTTATCTTCCAATTGGCACAAAATATATTTGGCCTGTTGTTTGTACAAATGTATCTTACAAAGCCAGCTGCTCGAATTGTATATTTAAGCTTTCAAAATAATTTTGACAGCATTTCTATATGCTGCCCCATTTCATTGCAATTTTTGCAGTAGCCCGTATCAAAATTCAATGAACCAAAGCTGAATGGAATTTCAGAATTTCACCAAAATTACTTTAAAAACACAGAAATTATTTTAAAAAAATTGTAAGCCACATGGCTGTACAACTCCACAAATACAATTCCAATTGCGATTGTACTGTAAAGCGATGGCAACTAATTGTTACTCTTTTAATAATGCAAATGCCCATAATTCTTAACCCATTATACAAAAACTTGCTTCTGAGCTTGGCAGGCTTATGGTTAGAAAAAGTTACAGACTATTGAAATTGGAGGAAATCTGTAATTTCGCCCAATTGGTTGGAGAAGCGTACTACTTGTTCAGAGCAACAATGAATGGACGATAAAAGCCGAAAGTCGATGAAGGATTATCATCGTTTTTTTCCACATTGATCACAAATCAACTTAGAATGTATCTCTATATTTTCAAGATTGACGCCGCATGTTTGTCGTTCTGATCAAATATATACACTTTATGGAGTCGGAGTTGCTTTATTCTATCTGTTACTTAGATTTGTACAAAACATACAACTTCTTACAAATTTGAAGTAAGCATTTGTAAATTTGTAATATATGCATATATATATGTATTACGATAATCAATACAATATACAATTTATAACTAATATTCGAATGTTAAATTGAAATCACAAAACATAAATTGAAGATGTGTTCTTGCGACAGTTGTGAATGTATGGACTACGTCTGCTGTACGCCCAGAGGAAAAGCCGTTTTTTTCTCACTTTGGACTATTGTTAATAGCGCAATTGCCATTGCTTTTTTGAGCTATGCTGATGGAAGTAAGTTATCTTGAAAGTAGTTAAGTATCTAAAAAGAAAAAACTAACAAACCCACTTCCATCTGAGAGGCGCTTGGTATATGTACATCTCTTATGCCGTGACAGCTTTGCATGTTTTGGGCGGTATTCTGCTGCTGCTCGGCGTTCTAAGGGTAAGTGATATAGTTGATGGCGTTGTCACCTTTATATACTCTCGACAAAGTAAAAAAGAATACTTTCTACGAATCATCAGCCCTTTAAAAATATATTATACTGTGAATAGAGTATTGCACAGTCGGCTATACCAAATTGCAACGTTCTTACTAGTTTCTTTTTATCTAGCACTGGGCAAAGTGTTTTCTTACTGGCATTATTATAAGCTCTTTTTTTCCATACTGGTTCATATACTTTATTTACTTAGCAGGTAAGTAAGATACACATTTTACTCCAAACTCTTTATTATACGTATATTTTTTTTTTCTTTTCAGTCGTCCAATTGATCTTTACAATTACCTCTTGCAGATATTATAGCACTGTACTAAAGAAGAGTTCAGATAACCATTAAATTAAACTCATCGAGTAGATTAATTAAATTGCGGATAGTACATTTTACAAATTTTAATGATTTGGTGCAAGACCGTCAACTCAGAAACGTAGACAGCACATTCAATTATTGGGCTCAAATGCATATATTCTCAATTTATGACCTGAGAGATTGGACATTGTGGGGCAAAGGAAAGAAGCATAGCCAATGCATTACATGCAGATTATAATGAATGATGATTAAGCCTCTATATGCATATCAGTATTGCCTGGCCTTTATTCGTTGCAATACTTTGTGGCTGATTGATCGTTAAGAGTTGACTTTGGCTTTTGGATCATTTGGATGAATACGATCTTCTATTGCCCGAGAAAATAACCACTAAGATTGTTGAAATTGACGACATTTGGAACATAATCTGTGAGAACCAGGAGCAGCCTGCATGATCTTAATGCTTTGCAGGTAGGCTTGAACCTGGTTGATGCTGTTCCTGTCGATATGGCAGCAGAGCGTCATTCTAATATCTAGCTCATGAGGCGGAATCTGTCTTTACCGGAGTCCATCATCCAGGCTTACCTTCAAGAACCTTCTGAAGCATTTTGAAGATTCTTTTATGTACTCTTTCTATAGCTATCTTTTCAGTGTAAATAAAGAAGATGCCGCTGAGTGAATCAGTGAGGTGTCTTAACATCATATAAAATTGAGTAACAGCTACTCAAATCTTGGTTATAAATTTTGGCTTGGACTCGTTAACACAAGCTGGTATTTGAAGACGACGCCTGCTTAATGAAAATAAGGAGGAACTATTAATGTTCAGCAAGACTATATTCGCTTTTGTCTATGCAATATTCGACTTCCATGAAATTAGAATTCGCTACATAAACCTATAGAAAGTACACACCGACAAATTCTGTCGCATTTACAATGTTGCCATGGAAGGCGTATATTGCCGGAGTTTAAACTAATAAAAACAACGATGTCGAATATTTCTACACATCGAGACATCAATTTATTTGCAGATCATTTCATCCGATGGTTAAACTGAATTTCATTACGATTAGACATGACTTGTTTCCATGGAAATGTGCAGCATACATTCATCCTCTTCAAAACTAAATCAGAATTGGAACATGAAGATACGAATCAGCTTGTCAATGGTATCAACAATCTCGGCGATTGAATTACTAGGCTTCTCTTAATTCAATATGTATTATGTACTATATCTAAGGCGTATGTTGCCACTAAAGTTTAGAACAAAGAATCAAATTGGCTCTTTGAACAAACACCAACATCCATTACACATAAAACTCATGCTGTTTAGTTTTCATGTCATTCATTATACAATACGTTTTTTTTTTTTATATATATATATATCCTGTCTATTGCTTTGTGTAAGATGAGTTAATATGGTCGACATTGGGTGTGGTAATTGCATGCACAAACTCGACATAGTTCACCAATCCCTGATCGTTCACCCGATCAGCCAAGAGTTCGTTCATCTCATCCTGTGTTAGATGCTCGCCACAACTGGTCAAGATACGTCCAAGCCAGGCCGCTTTTATATAGCCAGTATTCTTCTCATCGAATAATCGTAGACCAAATATTAGCTGATCGGCCACTGAGCCTGGTCCAGCCTGATAAACTGCAGCCAGTGACATGATGCTCTCATAGATCGACATGACCTCGTCAAAGGAAATGCGTTCGATTTGGTTATCACGCAATTGTTGGGTGTGCTGACGTATGCTCTTCTCACTGGGATTGGCACCCAGAATGCGTAGGCAGTCCCCCAATTGCAAAAGTCCAATTTTGCCATCTCCATGTTGGTCGAACTGCTGAAATGTTCGTCGCATTTTTTTGCGCTGAGCTGGTAAGTCCTTATTGGCCATTTTGTTGCTGACTTAATGATGGTTGATTGATTGAGAACTGTTTGGTTGATTGATTGACCGATTGATGACTGATGACGGCACAGGGATTGTGGTTATTTAAGTGTGCGTTTATATGGACACTCATTTTCTGCCCAGTTGCTAGCAACTGCACAGATAAACTGTAATCCAATTATGTGATTGGGAAAAACAAATATACAAATAATTTTGACATGTTGACAAGTGAAAGAACCGAATGACAGTACAAATTCAAAAACATTACTTGCTGCTGATGCTACAAAGGTTGCTTGAAAAAAATAAACAGATTTATCTAGCCTATTTCTATTTAGAATAGGCTTTATAACGTGTGCCCAATGAAATGAAATTAATTTATCAGGAAAAAACAAGCATCTTACACAACATTTGGCTGCTTTAGTTTTTGATCACGGTGAAGAGCTGACTTGAACTCTATTTCAAAAACTACAAAAGCTCTAGATTGAAATATAAAATATCTACATATGTTGAGGAACGGATACCTTCGAAATCATACGATATTATTCCTCTTCTTTGTCATTGACATTCACTTTCAAAAATTCAAAATATAGAGAACGTATCGTTTTATTGTTTACCTTGTCAACCTATTCCCTATATATAAGCGTTACTCGTCGATTTTGTTTTGTTTTTTGAGTTTTTTTTTTTTTGAATATCTTAGGTATATATCTGATTTTGAAATGTTATACATTTTTGAACTCGTACGAATCCCTACTAAGAACAAATTTAAAATCGATGCTTTAAAAAAGTTGTTGAACAAAAAAAATCACCTCTTGACGTTCACCAGGATTAAATAAGACAACTTCAGTGAAGGCAGTCATTCAATTAGTCAATCAGTCAATCATTCAGGACAGAAAATAAAAGTGGGAAAATCGCAGTTGACATTTCGTACGGATTGATTACATTGCCATCTGAATTCAGTCTGCCGGATTGAAGAAAGATCGCATTCAGCTTGTTTTTGCTTTCAAAAACATTGAAGAAAGAAATGTGTGCTAAGGGTGCACAGTAAAATGTGAGAGCTGTGCTTCCTTCTTAGCCGGAAACAAAATTTTTAAATATATCCGTATCTCATGAGGTGTAAGAGTAGTAAAAAATAAAAAAAAAAACTGATTATTGATGACTTTTAATAACATAATTTGGAGAACATAATGAAGATTTCAAATTTATCAGTACCCAGCACGTTTAATCGCAAGGGTTCTGAATAACGACAATAAAAAAGTTATCATGGGGCATGAGCATTATCTCAAAATAGCTAGTGCGCATGCGCATAGATGTAAACTCGTTTGCAGCATCCAGATCTAAAATCACCTGACGGGCTTTCTCTGTTACCGTTTGCATATGTCCGGCATAATGAACCGACATTTGGTTATCCAGCGTTGACTTGATGGCTATGCCATCGTTATCGACAACAATGATTCCCACAATATTCTTTATACCTTGGTAGCGTTTTAGCATCTCCTCGACTTCCGCAGACATCTTCAAGCAGCTATTTGATTTGTGCTACAGAACAACAGGAATTGTCACTCGTATTTCTAGTGTGTTTGGCTTACGACTGGAAAATTTATAATGCCTTAAATACTGACAGTTGAGAAATCCTGATTTTCAACGGCTTACTCGTTTCGGGAAACTCCAAGTTAATGTGACCTAAAAAAGTGTTTTCCTATCATATTCTTCAGAAGTGTAGCCGAATAAGACACTTTTACTTCTATTAAAAATTGTGAGGTTGAAGATGAGTAAAAACGAAATCTTCTGATCTTTCTACATTATTCGATATGTCGCTACCTTCTATAACTCCATCAGGATCAGTGTTTCCTTATATCCTCTGGACTGACCATATCTGAAACCTTCCCCGATCAACGAAACTACAGATTTGATTGTGATCCTAAATGTTGGCCTAAACGAAAGCAGCCTTTGCCTGTCACCCTCCAAGTTCCCCTCTAAATTTTTATCACCTACTTCTTATTTTATATACTTGCAGAGGGTATAAAATAATAATTTTTTAGTAATTCTTATCATTTTTGTCGCTGTTTAGTCCATATGAGTCCTATCGTATTGTTTGATTGTTTGAAAGGCCAGAAGTGATTTGGTTGCTTGAATGATAAGTTGCCTTTTGTGTGTGGCCCAAAAGTACGAAAAATTAATTGAATATTGTTGACACTCGTTAATTACACAGCCAACCCGAGTGGGAAGGACACGGCTTGATATTTTCCATTCGAAATGCAGACGAATTCGCCAACATCAAGTTTTGTGCGGAAATTATGACACTCTTCCGGCCAAGCAGCCAGCCGGCCCACAAACAGAGAGCCAACTCATTGCAGTCTGATGTAAAATTGTGCACTTTTGAAAATTAATTAAAAGTCATAAAACTCATAATGAAATTACTCAGACAAGCTAAAAGACTGACAGACAGACAGACAGACCGACAGCCAGAGGCGAGACAAAGACATTCAAGTAGAGTCCTGCTGTCTCACATGCAGCACATGCCCCATGCAGAAGCTAGCGCGTTGCCGCAACGCTTTGGAGCAGGGGCAGCGGGCGCAAGGAAAACTTTGGACACGGGTCAACAAGGTGAAGAGCTGTCGAAAAATTGTAAAATTGTAAAACTCGTTTAAAAATTAAATCAACGTTCAGTTTAAAACTCTCAAAGGCAATTTGTCTTGGCATTCAAGTAAGCCATATGGAAAATTGTCGAAAAATCGAAAAACTGTCAACTAATGCCAAAATTGCTTTCCTCTTGCCCTGACTTTGGCTTAATTTGTTTTACAAATATGTTGAATAAATATTGCATTTTGTCCATTGATGTACACGCAAGAGATTTAATTAAGAGTGCAAAGGGATTTGTGGCTGGGCAATCGCTGGCCAGGACCTTTGGCTACGAATTTGTAAAACTGTGCAACTGGTTGTGCATACCACGATGCGTCAACTTTTTACAAATATTGGTAATCTGGCTGACACATTGTAGAATAATATTTATTCCTTGAACTTGTTGGTTTTATCACAAATATAACCATTATTTTAATACACTATATTTGAAACAGACCCTCTGCGATATATATTATACTGGCTGTCTCTTAACAAGTTGAGAGTATCAGACTGGGAAATATTGTGAACCTAGTTACCTTTTCAAGCATTATGGCTGCTATACAAACATACACCAATACCTACATACGAAGTTTATTATCTTTTTTTTATTGAAAACAACAGAATACAAATAGTTGTTAGGGTAATTCAGCTCTAGATCTATGCTGTATTATTAGGGAATCAGGGACCCTCTATCTGAGCACCCCACTCACAATATGCCTATTCCTATTCATTAAATTCAAATGAATTAATAAGATAAATTAGCTGGCAATAAAAACCGTCTTCAATTTCCATATTGGTAAAAAACGTTTTCAACGCGATATTTTGAAAGCCGAATGAGCTCTGATAATTTAATATTTGCTTTATTTTCATAATTGAAGCGCATTTTTGTCTCAAATTACTCAGCATCTAGTGCTGTTATTAAATTAATTATGGATTCATTATTATTTTGAAGTTTTGATTCTGTGATTAATTGCATTATAATTGAATTTTCTTTGCTCCTACATACATACATACTTTATGCACATATAAATCCGAAACGGGAATTAAATGAGAGTATGCAAATGTGTGTACTGGGTAACAAGTAATAGTACTCTAGCCGGGAGTGCCAGACTAGGAGATACCCTAAACCTTCTTCTAACATAGTCAGATGCACCTAAGAAATTTGCGCAAAAACAGGATTTCAATAACGATTTTTATAGATTAGCTTTGAAATCGACTCAGTTCGTCGTCCTGACAAATAATATATATATACATTATAAGTTTGGATTTACGATGTGGAACATACTATTATTAGTCAGCTTTTCATTTCCAAATATTCAACATTTAATTCAGTTATTGGCGATAATAAAATGCAGTAAATAATTGTATACGACTGCAAATATATTATGCATGTTAAGCTCGAGGCAAGGTGTTAATTAAATGCCAGGATACCAGGACCAAAGCCCACAAAACTGGTACCAAATAAAATACTTGATGAAAATCAGTTGCAGCTGCATTTCAAATTAGTAACCAAAACTGTCCGAAAGCTGGCAAATGCAAATCTGAACGAGCTGTGGGTCATGAAATGTTAATGTTAATCAGATTTGCAATTTGCAATTATTAGTAAAATATTCGAGTGCGAGCGCATTACCAATTACGAGTACCTTTGTTTTCATTTGTTGTATGTGTGCGTGTGTGCGCGTGTGTGTGTGTGCTGTGTGCTGTGGAAGGAGGATTGAGGTGACAAGGAGAATACTTGTAATTTAATTTGGTGTAAATTGAAATTATGATTGAACGCGTGGGAGTAGCACGTTTACGTGTACGATATGAATTGAATTTTAATTAATTTGAACATGCGTTAGGTTTGGGGCCCAGACAGGCGAATTTATATTCCCAGTCAGGTTAGTGTTCATTAGACCAAATTTAATACAAAAATCTGATCAAATGCCACATCATCGAAATTTAATTGGTTATAGCTACAGATACTTAGCTATAAGTACTCCTTGCAGGCATATTCAGTACACTTCTTCGATTGTTGCAGCCCTAAGTTGAATTTGATCTGAGCGTGTGTGCCCGGGGATAACATTTTAAATTAAATTTTATAGCACTGGCTTTATGCAAAGACACCCCAAAAGGTCTGATAAATGCTTGTCAACACACAACACAAGTATTTGCCATGTGTGTGGGATTGCGAAATAATGTCTTTTTTGTATCTGCACACGAAACCTTCATATTGCCGCATCTTTGTGTGAGAAAAGTATAACGATTTTTTGCAAATTGATGTATGTATCAGCCAGAAGGAAGCATCTCCGACCCCGTCCATCAACCAAGGCCTGTTCCTCTGTAGAACGCAGGAAGTAATAAAAGCTATAGACTTGGAAGTTAATCGACAATAACATTTCATGGCTTCTTAAAATATAGGAGCTATAACTAAGCAAACATTGGATTGTGAGGGCAGCTTGGAGGTGGGTCCGGGGTACCTACTAGTCCGGAACTCCCAGCACTCTCAGCACTTATACTTGTTTTATTCCAACAGAGAGCCTTAATATATCATTTCTCCAAAAAATTCAGATGACAACTGCGAACCTTGAAAACAAATATTAAACATATAACAGCAGTTTCATAAACATAACCGCAATTTGTGGAGTTACTGCTGCAGTGTGACTTAATCGTGTGGCTATTTTAACTCACATATTGGGACATGAAAGCTGCTTTATATAAAGAACTTTATATTAGCCCGTTGCAACACCGCTAAGAAATATAAATATGTGAAGTGTGGATCGGCCTTAGCCTGATACATGAAACGCATGTACCATAAACATTTTATATGTTGGGCATATGAAACCTTGACATCACCTTTTTCAATCAACTAAAGAGCAGCCGTGTCCTTCATCAACTGCCCTCCACTCGACCTCATAGCATACTCAATAAGCTGGCATTTTATTTGCATTTTTTTCGTCACTTGATGTTTGCCTGGCTGGTTGCCCAATTCCCAGCAGCTTGCAGAGTCGCCCTCTCAACGCCACGACATTGGCGAATATTTTGCCAGAGTTTTTACTTGGTTCGCGCGACGCTGTTGACAAATTCATCATCGTCTAAGCACGCGTCTGTCAGGCGCGCTAAGGATACAATAAATGTCTTTCGTGGTCTGTGCGCATGGCGTGTTCTGGCCCAGGACTCGCTCGGCTGCCTGGCTGCCTGGCAGCCTGTTCTGCGGCTGAGACTCCCGCTGAGTGAAATACTCTGTCGGATTAATATGCAACAACGTTTTGCAATTTTTTGTCTCCATTTTATTTTATTTTCTTTTCTTTTGGCTTATTCATTTGCCTTTGGGCTTTCGCTCCTGGCTTCCTACATCCTCTGGTTCAGCTCTCAGTCTCGGGCTCAGGTGCACTTTGCGATAACAAATTAAACAACTTCATGCAACCGTCGAAAAAAAGCAAAAATAAATAAATGCTTTGAGTTTTTATTTGCCTTACAAATAGATGGCAGCATAATAGCAGCAATGAACGAGTGGGGATGCAAGCAAAATTAGTTAAAATGCCGAGGCTCTCCACCAGAGTCCACAAGTTTCATTGATTCCAGATTTGAATACGCTTTATATTACCAAAGGCCAGTTTGATTACAAAGACAAAGCACCAAGCTTTCAAGACAAAAGTTTACCTAAATACGCATATCGTTACCAAGTTAAAAATCTTAACAAAACTTGGCTTGAAGAAAATTCATTGTTCTCCTCATAATCCGTAAGTCATAGTTCCAACGGGTCTTAATCCATGATTTTAAATGTATAAAATGATCGTGTGCATAACATAGCTCCGCAAGAACAAATATTTTGTATAACAATTTATTTGTATAATTATTATAATTATTTTATGTCGTGGTTAGCATAAAATTATTGTTACCACTGGAGTCGATAAATACATGTTCCTAAATACAAATCAATTTAACTATATCAATGGATACAGTTTATTATGCTCAGTCCACTCGACTTCACTGACAGTCTTGAGCTCGAGGTAGGCCTGCTTGGCTAGCCAGTGAAATAAGGGACTGTTCCATTGTGTCTGCGTGGACCAGAGTTCCCTGTTTGAAGGATTGGCCGTTGTTCGAATACGGCTGTAACGAGACCACAAATAGACCATGCTGCGCATCTTGTAGACCCACAAGTGATTCGGTATGTATCGTATGATATCCTGCAATTGGCACATATGTTCCGAATCCAATTTCTCCAAGAAGCACACGTTCGTCAATTCAAAAATGGTGCCCATTATCGATTGAAAATTCGTCTTGTTCAACTCCAATGCCAAATGAGCTGAGTGCATTAGTTGCCTTATCGACTCCGGTTTGTCATAACTCATTTTAATGTGCAGAAATGAATATCTTAAATTAATGCCTTTAAAGTAATCGAGCTCTTTATCGATGCCCGCCTCACACCACTTGAAGTCTTTCCACCAAATATCCCAGCTTCTGTAGTTCATGTTGCGGTATATATCCGTCCACTCATCGCGGAGGCCCTGACGAAATCGCTTGGCTGCACCGCGACTATAGTTTAAAGATAGTATCGGGCTTTTCCGAACTGGTGACTCTGGAGGCACTGCCTCCTTTCCACCAATAATACTGCAGTGCTTACGTCGAAAGAACTTAATCGCATATTACGTGCTCTCTGGCTGCGGTAACGGCTTCCAGTTGCTGTGAAGGTAGGGCATTTCAAAGTCGCCTATTTGAAATATTTGATCCACTTGCGTCATAATGCGCTTCTTGTGTTTATTTTGGTCAAGTTCCCCATTGCTTGGTTCAGCAGCGCGCTTTAATACCCTGAGGCTGGGGATGCGCAAATTTCTGTTATCGATTGTATGGGCTTCCCCGTCTTGGTAAATGTTTGGAAACTGATTTGAATTAAAATTTTTATTGTTCCCAGCTTCATTTCTGCCATTAAATCGCCTGAACATGGGCTCCAATGCATTTTGAAAGTGTACATTATTTACATTTCTGAATTGAAGCTGTTCCCTGTTATTAAAATGAAATTTATCGTTGAATAAAGCAGGCAACTGACGACGGTAATTGTGGTTCACGAACGCATTGTTTTCAGAACTGTTTTTATGTTGAACGGGGCAACCTACAATATTGTTAAGCTGTTGTGGGGCAAAATCTCCTTCAATGTTTCGAAGATCTAAATCTATATTATAGTCCAAGTTTCGATAATTATTGTTATTGTTGTTGTAGTTATCGTTGGAGTTGTATGGGGTAAAACGTTTTGCCAGCTCTCCATTAAAGTTATGGTCCGAATTTCGTGAATCTACATCTAGTTCTCTTCGATGCAAGTCAGGTGGTTGAAAGTCCATTTCTTCCACAGGCGTCGAAGTCAATCTGCGTTCTGGGTAGTGGTCATTCCTGTTATCAGCAAGATATGCCAAAGGAATAGGATCACAATCTGGCGAATTTTCACGACTTGAGATCCAGTTGATGCCGCGTGGTGGTGACGGGGTTCTGGGATAGCTCGATGGGGCCGCTTGACGATGCAGTAGCTCTCGGATTTTACGTAAAACTATGGCATCCACCTCGGCCTGTCGTCTGGCGCCCAGCTGCAGGCTAAGACGTTTCCAATGCTGCTGAAAGTGGCTCAGATTGAAGTCTGGCTGCTCGAGTGTATGTATTGCTAGCTCGTGGGCACAGCTGGGGCTCAAGCCCAAATGGAATAGCCAGTCGCGTCTCTCGTTGAGCTGCACGTTGACTACATTGCCAGATTGAACACCGAAACCATTGTGCGGATTGCCAAATAGCTCTCTCTGTTGTTCAAGGAATCGAAAACTATATTCCCTCTTTTAAAGCTGCTTACCTGTCCAAAGTGCTGTGGCCGTCCGCGCATGTTGCTTCCTTCATAAAAATTGGCCCGGTGCAGCATTACGTTGAATTCTTTCCACAATATTAATGTTCTTTTTCAATTTTTACTTTTTTTTTTATCGTTCTCATCAGTTTGAAGACAAAATTAGGTTTGATGTCGCTCGAGTTTTGCTTACTGAGCACAACTGCCAGCAGTCCCTAAATGCTACGCACACTTGATAATTCCGAATTCTGTAAGCATTGAACTCGCTACATAATACAAAAAAAAAAAAAAAAACACTGAAAAGCGCGCTTATTGATAATTCGCCTGCTCAATCATACAAAAATAAGTATTTTATTTCGGGCAATAAAAAGTATTTGCGCACTTATATGTAATATGTTTATTAAATCGCGTTTAAATCCCAGCCTACATGTAAAAAGTACGATTATATTAATTATCCAATCTTTGTTATTAACTGGTATTATATTTTTGATTTGTGGAATTGATATAATAAACCATTTAATTGTAATATAATGAACCGGTTCTCAAGTTCTCAAAGACTAAGTCATTTGCTAAGTAATTTGTATTTACCTCAAATTTGAATATGTTCAATATGAACTGAATAACTTTTACGTTTTAATTTACTGCGAAATATGTATTGCATACAAAACTTATGTACTTGCACAATGTTTTAGAATTAAATAACATTCCATTCATTTTTAATTAAATGCATTTATAGACAACAATATTGGTTTACAATTAATCAATTAAATGCATAACACATTGAAGCTCATGAATGCATTGTTAGGTTAAGATATCGAAAGCAAAAAAAACACCAAAGATATTTAATATATTGGTGCCTGCAACAAAAACTGGAATTAAATTCCTTTAGATGCATTTTTTCATTTGCAATGAATCCAACTGACGGACTATCGAGCATTCCTATGCCAACTCGCTTGTTGATATTGACCAGGTAAATAAATGCTTAAAGGGGTTGGAAATGTCTCCTTCCATGCATTACGCATTCCGTAACAAACATATAATACCTTCTGCACCAATGTAATTAATCATTCTTTTAACTATATTATTTATAAATCGTATCGGCTTACGAATGCGTATACTCAAATATTTGCATTTGGAGCACTCGCAGAATTTATCGATATTTCGATTTAAGGCGTCTTTAAGAAAAATCCACAGCCGTTGATCCATTGGCCCAAATAAACTTGGCAATAATTTATTACAATCACTCAAGTCAATAGCGATGTCGATGAGGACAAAAACGTAGCACATAAAATATAAATGGATCTCAGCCTTGCTCAGCTCTGTTGGAGAGATGATACGAGTAGTGTGTGCAATATTTTAAAATTGCATCCCAGAGGATAAAAACAAGAACAAGAAAAAACGTTGCAATAAAATGTGCTACATCGACACACGTCGCAAGCGAATGGGAAAAATTGAAATGAATAAGATATAAAATGGAAACAAATACACCAAATGACCCAAAAGAATCGCACCGCCTACCTTCTCTTTGCCGCTCTTCTCACACAAGCCTCAGCTTCTCGAGCTGAATTTATGCAAGTGAAACATTTGCGAAAGCCTTGCGACTCGATAAGAGTATTTATTTGAGCTTGGCGCTGCAATGCGAGCATTCAGAAAACAGCGACACGAATTGCCAATACGAATCCTTTTGGCCGAGAGTGTAAATTGTCTATGCCGGCATGCGGCTCACGCGGCGTATGTGGAATGTGGAAAGTTGCTTTTCTTTTGGTCTTATTTCGTTTGTGTGTCTGATACGTTCAGTGAACATGCTCCGCAATCCGCTGACTTGGCGACACGGCCACGCCCCCTACTTGCAATTAAAGCAAACAACAGCGCAAACTAATCTCGAGGGCCTCGTAAATTCCGTGGGGCATTCCTGTGGGCCACTCAGACCACACCAGAGCAGATGCCAGCATACCAGCCAGTACAACAATAAACACCGCCTGTGGCAAGCAATTGAAACTATGCACCAAATCTGCAAACGTTGGCGGAATCACTAAGCTGCTTTTCTAATTCCTATCCTATCCTATTCTATCCTTTCCCATCATTTCCATCCATGCCATATACTCCCCTTTCTCCATCATCCACAATTTTATGCAGCATTCTGTGCACTTTGTTTATTCTTCGCTGCGATGCCAAAGTGTGAGGGGGTTAAACGAATAAGAAGCTGGGTTAAATTTGGCTTATCGCATGTGGTATGTTGTCGGGCTTAATTTGCATATTAATTGAATGTCAAAAAAGGACCAAGAAGCACAGCTTGGGCTGACTTTCGAGTGTGTCATGTGGGAATAGAAATTGACTTGAGGCAATGCACGGTTCTAAATCAACAAAGCAAAGGTGAATACATTCAAATTATCTGTGGAATTTCAATTTGAATGGCGAGTGAGTTCCATTCAAACCAATAATAAGTAAATAAATAAATATTTGAATCTAGAATTAAATGAAATTGAATTAGTATCTTGTAGTAGGTGTGTTAAGCGCAAAGCTATTTCATCTGACTTGGGACCCCTTTAACAAACTATTTATAATTTTTTCTATCTTAAAGGGGAAGGCTGATAAGAATCTTAAGTCCATCTCCATCTGTTGTACAAGTTAACCTGTTCATTTTAAATAAAAGTAACAACAACCTATTAAATATAGGTTAATTTTAAGATTTATCATCTTTTATTATTTCACTGCGAATAAAGTACTGAACGAACAATTGATACATCTTTGAATATTTAAGGACAATGCAACCAGTTAATTGACTTTTTGAAAATGTTGTTAAATGGCTGCCAAATAAACACGACCCAAAGCCTAGATGTGGCCCATTATTACAATAAATCAGAATGATATCTATTCAGTTTTGGGTTTTCTGAGTAGAGCTAACGGGAGGTATGCATGCTCGCAACACAGTCATAAATCTTCAAGTGGCACTGCGCTCGTGTGGCTTGGCTACTCCTTTGACTAGCATTCTGACATTTTCAATGCTCGCCCGAAATGAAAATGCCGTAACCCGCTTATAACGCACTTCTAAGCCCTATCAACTCCAGCCGCAGCAGGTACCCAGGTATCCAGCATATAGAAGAAACATAATCAGGAGCCACTGCTTGGCTCTGGCTACCTTGACAACGAGCTGCTCCGACATGTTGCTGTCAGTGGAAATCGAGTTTCACTCGTTTTTCTAACTGCCGCCTCATGTCTCGTACCGAACTGCCAGCTTCTAATTGGCAGCTGCATACAGCAAGGACAATGGCACAATTGCCATCATCCAGGAGCGGGAGCAGTCGTAGGATCAGGAGCAGAAGCAGGTGCGGTAACAGAAGCTGAAAATTCAGCAGCTATATAATCAGAAGGCATTTTATATGCAGTTGTTCTCATCTGCCACTTTTACGCATTGTGGTCACCAGGTGAATGCAGTTGTGGTCATACCATGCTCAATTGTAGACAACACTGAGATAAAAAAAAAACGCCATTTTTTATTGTTACATTTTGTATTTTAGTTACATTTTTCTTAGATGAATTCTATCGAGTTCCATCAACGAAATGTTTCCAGTTGCCTACAAATTCAAAGTAATTTACTCAAATTTTATTTAATCTGCCATACAAAGACAAAACGATAGATGACATTATTTCACAGTTTGCAACAAAAATCTCGATTAATTGCCATGAAATAGATATATAAGTCAAACATATCTCCGAACTTCTTTAAGTTAATTAAATATGAACATTCTGATGCTTTATATTAACCACTCAGAAATGATTCAACTGAAATTGCGTACTTTTAGAAAAATACTGAAATGCTTGGGGGATATTGATAATGAGCATTCATTGAACATTTTCTGACATTTAACCTTATGGCGTTATACTAATGAACCCTATTGGTCTTTAAGTTCAGTTAGTTTTATGTGTGTGCCTCATTTTTGCTGAACCTTTTTTTTTCAGTGTAACTTTTGATGGTGGGCCAACTTTTGCCGCTTGGCTGCTCGGCTGGTCAACTGCAATTTACAATTTTGGACTTGGCTACTAAGTCGAGAGGCAAATATCAGACTCAGAACAAACATTCAGTCCAATTGAGTCTCTGCTCGTCTGGTTCTGGACGAGGTTCCTTTGTGCGATGTCAGTCATTAATGTTGCTCATGTGTCCTATGCTGCTGCTCCTACAGCCTATTCAGTATTGTTTAATGCTGTTGAATATACGCTTTTATAGCAACATCTGAGGTATAAATGCTCTCGTGCATGAAGTAGCCGCAGTAATATCTAAAGAGTATGAAACACAGAGTATCTCGTAGTCGAGTCTATTGTGCCTTTACTTGTTATATGTTATTTGCATATGCGGTTAGAGCTACCCTCTTCTTTCTCTCTCACCGCCACACACTCCCGTTGTCTATCTTTTGGGTCTGCTGATGCTTGTTCCATGTTCTGAATGCGCTTCTCAGTCTTAACTTTCACATAAACACAATCAAATTTTGCCTTTTGCCAACTTTTTCCATTTGCAGCTCGTACTGCAAAAGTCGAAAATTGCAATCACAGCAAATTTCTGAAATGCTACAGAATTTATTTATACCATAATTCGATGTCTCATTTTGTGGATATACGCGTACATGTTTGGCAACTGATTAGCCCAGCTGAGCTAATGCTCACATATCTCTGACTATGTGCTGGAAAATCTTGCTGAAAATTGCGAGAGCACGCCAATGTATTTATTGCCAATTTGACGCAGCCACGTTTGGTTGCCAACAGCCTTTTTGGCTTTTGGCAACATCTTTGGCGAGGCATAAGAGTTGAAACCTCAGCAGCGGCAAACAGACTGCCTGAAGAGCTAGATACGAATACAGGGACCGGGCTGTGTGGTAGGGATGAGACTGTGCCTGTCCCTGAGCCGGCAAAGACTCGTCAGAGACATCAAAGTTGCCGAGCTAAATTTCACTTCCCTTTGGCTGCATCCGAAGATATGCAAATCCTTGTCTGTCAGGCTAACTGCCTCCTGCCCCGTCCCCGCCTAACTCTTACTCTCTCATTCTGTATGTTGACGAAATGAATCGAAATGTTGGCACAGTTTGCGTCAAGTTTTGTGCATCAGGAAATTAGCACGCAAATTACCACAAGCACTGCCAAGTCCTTCTCCAACCCGCAAACTAATTGGCTAGAAATGTGTGAAAATTACATT